CTGGGAGAGGAGGGGTGGGTTGCTGTAGTAAGACACTGGGAGGAAGGAGGGTGCCTATAGTGCTGGGAGAAGAGGGGGCAGGGCTGGATTAAGAGATTTCAGTCTACAGAGAGCGGTTAAGCCCAAAGAGGTTGAATTGGCAAAGTGTGTGAATGTTGTGTGAATCCATTAGCAATGTGAAATAAAAACGCACACAGAATGAACATGCTGCATGTAATCTATCACTAGAGCTTCCCCAGAATGGGATCGCATGCAGCATGTTCATTTTGTATTTTCCTTTCGCTTTGGGTAGATAACATTGTATATTGGGCTGGTCGCATTCCATTAATAAGGGTTATCTTCCCTGCGTAGGTTTAATCGGAAGCCGAAAAGAGGGATCCAGTATCTGCAGGAGCAGGGAATGCTGGGAAGTATGCCGCAGGACATTGCGCAGTTATTCCACCAGGAGGACCGGCTGGACTTTGTAAGTATCTCCTATTCCTGACTGCTAGGATTGTTCTCCGGGTCACATGACTTTTCCTCCTCTTGAATGGGTGAATATTTAGCATATGACCCGCCCACAGGAGGACCCATACTGAGGCTGACTCCGCCCCCGGCCAGAAGCTAAGCGCCGGTCCCCTTTTTAGCCTGAGGCGGTAGCAGCAGGGAGGTCCTTGCAGTGCAGGTCCTCAGGTCCGGCCTCCTCTCCTGCAAGGAGAACAGTGAGCAGCACAGCAGTGACATCACCGAACCTGTCGGAGGCAGCAGTGCCATAGATGATCTCCCACTGCAGATATAGAGCCATGAAGCCACACAGCAGGAGTGCCTGGGTACAAGAAGTGCACTTATATTATGAGTGCCCAGGCGCAGGAAGAGTCACTGATATCGGGAGTGCCCTGGTGTCGGGGGTGGCGAGGCGCAGGGAGTGCCCTGGTGTCGGGTGGCGAGGCGCAGGGAGTGCCCTGGTGGCGAGTGGCGAGGCGCAGGGAGTGCCCTGGTGAGCAGGATTCAGGTTGGGTTTCCTCGGTGAGTGGGTGACGGCATGGAAACACATGAACAATCCATATATGTGATCACATTGCTGTCCGGGGTTCCACTTTAATGTGATCGGTTGCCCTCCAGCTGATGTACAGATAGCAGATGAAAGAGGACCTGTCATAGAAGGGACTTCCCTCTAGACCGGGACATTGCGTTGGTCCTGATGGTGTGTAGTAACCCCTGGAAGGCGGAATGGTGGCTCGTTGCTATGGGTTACCGCTCTCTGCCCCTTATGAGATGCATTGTGCTCATAGATTTACAGGACTCTCTCTTCCAGACAGACGTTGTTTGCCAGCGCCGACACCGCCTACGTCCTGGCCTACTCCATCATCATGCTGACCACAGACCTGCACAACCCTCAGGTGCGGTATTACACCCTATGTCCGGGTCATTCGCTTCCGTCAGATCATGTGACCGCTGTACAGAAAGCCGGCAAATCCCAAAAGTTTACCGGAGTCCCATATCGGGAAATACAGCCACGTCTGGGGGGTGCAGTGGCCCCTTTATGATGGTGACCGGTGCTCTCTGACACGCCGGTTTGGTGGTTTTTCCTGATATTGGAGTCCAATTAACTTGCTTGGCTTTGTTGGTGTGCCGGCTTTCTTTCCAGATTTGGATGGTAGCGCCGTCTCCCCGGGCACACACCCCGTACACGGGGAGGTATACGAAGCCTGTGCCGTATGGTATGGGGGGGAGTATACGAAGCCTGTGCCGTATGGTATGGGGGGGAGTATACGAAGCCTGTGCCGTATGGTATTGGGGGGAGTATACGAAGCCTGTGCCGTATGGTATGGGGGATCTTGCCAGGTGAAGAATAAGATGACGAAGGAACAATATATAAAGATGAATTGTGGGATTAATGACAGCAAAGACCTGCCGGAGGAATACCTGTCCACCGTATACGACCAGATCGAGGGCAAGAAGATCGCCATGAAGGAGACGAAGGAGCACACCATCGCCACCAAGTCTACCAAGCCGGGTGAGTCTTACGCGGCCATCTATGTCGGTGTTGGCTCACCTGGAGCTGAGATTTTCCTCCGTGTTCTCTGCGCCGCCTCCCGTGTTCTCTGCGCCGCCTCCCGTGTTCTCTGCGCCGCCTCCCGTGTTCTCTGCGCCGCCTCCCGTGTTCTCTGCGCCGCTTCCGTGTTCTCTGCGCCTCTGGCAGTCTTAGACCCCGTTCACATTGAGCGATTTATCGCGTGGTAATTCCCGCGATATCGTGCTCCAATGCAATCCCAATGGGGCAAAGGGTCCCGGGTCGTGCGTCGCTACAGCAGGACCCTTTTTGGAGTGGATTTTGCCGCGATTCCAGCTTGCTCAATGCAACCATTTGCGCGATATCCTAATCGCGCAGTGTGAATGGGGCCTTATGTAGGGATCGTCTT